CGAACTGCAAGATTGGTGGTCTAAACCCACCAGTCGCTTCTTGGAAACCCTACACAGGATCGTCATGAGTCAGAACCATTCCACGACACACAACATCGACAGTGCTTCTGGGACTGACTTTGGAAACCCTATACAGGGTCGCTATGGGTCGGAACCAACTCGACGGCACTTCACAACAACAAGAATGCCTAGAATATTTATCTTTATGTGTTTTGTTTAATTTTTGATAACTACCAATTTTCCTAGTTTCCTGGTGCTTTGTACACTGCATGTTCTGGTTATTATTGTAAGTTTTCAGATGTTTCTTCCCATTTTGAGTTCTACACCACCAGCAAATGAAGGTCCTGAAAGCTTTACTTCAACCTTGCCATTAAGGTCAACTCTCCTCTGAGGTCAACCTCTCCTTCCTGCTAGTTTTTCTCAGTCTGGATGCTCTACTAAAACCTGTCCACCATGAGTGACCCTGCTGGAATGTAAATCCTGGTGGCATAGCTTCCAGCATCACAGCAACACACAAGTTGACCCATTAGTTTTGTTTCATGTTGTTGGTTGCAATCCCCACAAAGTAACATCACTTCCTCCCTGAGTTCCTCATTTCCATTCCTCCTCCTTTCTTACCCAGTCTGAACTTTGTCCTTGGGTGAACACTGCCCTTTGTATCTTAAGTAGTTATTCTAAGTTGTGCACACCTCCCTAGTGTTATTGTTTCCCTTAAAACCTGTCTATTGTTTGGCTGAAAATTGAGCCATGGGCCTTATAATAAATATGGTCCCTTTCAGTCGTGGTAGCTGGACACCATCTAGTTCTTCTGGTCTCAGAGCTGTGGTGGCTGATGTGCATGTGGTCCATCAGTCTAGTGGACTAATTGTGGAAAGCCTACTTCTCAATCTTCTAGGCTACCACATCGTCAAGATTCTGCTCAGATGGCCTGTCTCTGTGAAGCTGCTCTGACCCTGAGCTGCTGCCCCTCAGGACAATTTTAATGTTGCAATGTCCACATGGAAATGTCTAAGTACCCCCCTAATCAGGAGCCATACAGGGGCAGCTCTGTTCTTTTCCTCTCGGCAGACTCCAGCTCCTTTTAGAGGTTTGATGAGCAGGGCGTTGCTGGCATGGGAATCTCTGGGGGGCATGCTCAGCTCCTGACCCACGGTGGTGCTCAGTAGACAGTCAGCTCCTTCCTCCCTCAGATGTTGTGATTTCATTCTAAAACATGGAAATGCTGTGCCCCCTGGGAGATAATCTCCCATGACACAAAAGGAAGAGAATGTGCCACGTACCTCCACGCCTGGGTCACCCTTCTCCCCAGCTTCTCCTTTCTCTCCCTGTGGGCACAAAACACCACGGTGTAAATGCCAGCACCTGGGGAAGCCGGGGGACACCAGACCCTCAGATCTGAGAAACACTAGGCTGCATTTGTCATTGTCATTTTGAGTTGATTCCAGCTCATAGAAACCCAATAGGGTTTCCAAGGCTGTAATTTGTTTGGATGTAGACCGACACATCTTTCTCCTATGGAGTGGCTGGTGGTTTTGAACTGCAGCCAAGTGCTTTAACTACCACACCACCATGTCTCCTAAGACTAGGTTAGGGGTCAGCGAGGAACACCCTGAAAGGTCATCAACCCCTAGGAGACAGAACGTGGGAAGAGAGGCTGTTATTCTGCATAGATTCCAGGGTTGACCTGTGAATTATTTCTAATAGTAGAACATAGCATATGGCAATGGGGAATGATGCTTCTTCTGTGATTATGTTAGGATGTATACATATACCCACAGCTCTGTCTTGCTAGAATGGCAAGCATACCTGTTTGGCTGCTAACTGAAAGGTTGGAGGTTTGAGGTATCCCAGAGGTACCTTGGAAGAAAGGTCTGGAGATGTACTTCTGAAAACTCAGCCACTGAGAATACAGTGGAGCACAGTTCTACTCTAACACACACGGGGCTGCTAGGGGTCAGAGTCAACTCAGCCACTGAGAATCCTATAGAACACAGTTCTACTCTAACACACACATGGGGCTGCCAGGGGTCAGCGTCAACTGGATGGCAGCTGGTTTGGGTTTATGGGAGCTAGCGTACTAGAGAGGGTCTTGTACTGGTCTGGAGCAGCAAGCTGCTGTAATGTGACCTGCCTATGAGAAGGGCCATGGGGCAGGGGACAGCAGGTGGCCTATAGGGACTGAGGGACTCAGCCCTACAACAGCAAGGAATGGAATTCTGTCAAAGGTGTGTGAGCTTGCAGGAGGACCCTGGAAAACGTCAGTCTGTTGACACTTTGTCTGCAACCTAGTGACACATCCCAGTGCCTGACCCACAGGAGATGAGAAACCTGAATATTGTTTTAGGTCACTAGTGGGTGGGGATTTGCTAAGTAGCATGGACAAGGAATATGGGCCCAGAGGGCAGAATGAAGACCAAGGCAGGGAAGAGGGGTTACCACAGGGAATGGCTCAACAATGGGATGGACTTGGAGGAGCCGTGAACTCCCTGCTATCTCATTGACTGGGACAGTGGTGGTCACAGAGGCTTAGAGGTTTGGGCTGACTTCTGAGGTTCCAAGATTCTACCCCCTTTGAAGAAGGTTTGTCCTAAAGACTGAGGTCACCAAGTGTAAGTGGAGGAAGCGGACACTCCTGTTTACACTCCGGTGTCCCCCCATGGCTGGTGGGCAGGCAGGCTGGGGTTCCTGCAGCCTCCCAGCAACAGTGCCAGGTACAGCCATCAGACTGGGACTCAGCAAAGGACCCCCAATCACATGCCCTGGCCTGCAGTTCCCTACCCATAATCTTGACACCCAGCCCTCTCGCCTTACTGTGAATCCTGGGAGCCCACTGGGGCCAGGCAATCCTGTCGCTCCGGGTCTCCCTTGGTCACCTGGTTCTCCTTTCTCCCCAGTTGGGCCATCTAGACCCTACAGATGGACAAAGACATCTGTTAGTGATGGGCAGTAATGCAGAACATATGTGAGCAGCTGAAGCATGTACACGTAACTCCCTTCCTCCAGGGTTGTTGCTAGGAGCGTGCCCATTTCACAGATGGGAACAACTGAAGTCCAGAGAAGGCTCCCAAGTCACATCACCAGCCAAACTGGACTGGGCTGAGGCCACTCTGTCGACATGCAACCTCCCTGGGCATACGGCTTCCAAAGGGGCAGTTTTATTTATACCTATGACTTCATCTCCCTCCAACCAACCAAAAGAGTTATCCAGGGAAGATGCTATTATCCCCATTTCAGAGATGTGGGAACAGAGGCTCTACAAGGCTCTTGCTAAAGGTCACATACAGGTGATGACAGAAGAGGACCCAGGTCTCTTGAGTTAGGAAGCTGGCCTTTACACAGTGTGTGGCTGGGGGTAACCTGGGTGAATCTTTGGCTCTCAGTTCCTGCCTCCAGCTTCCCAGTCAGCAGCTGGCCCCATGCAGAGCTGGCAGGCTGGGATGGCACAGGCAAAGGAAGGCGGAGCCAAGGACTCTGGCCCCAGTCCTGCCTACTCACCGGGGCGCCTGCGTGGCCCATCTCCCCTCTCTCTCCCTTCTCTCCTGGACTGCCTGGGAGGCCGTCTTCTCCCTTCATTCCTGGAGGCCCATCCTTTCCCAGAGGTCCTTGTGGACCAGGGGGGCCTATGTCTCCTGGTTTGCCTCGAGGTCCCTTTAGAAAATAGCAGCAACACTTATTAGAAACATTGATGGAAAAAAGAGAAGAGAATACAGGACAATGGGGGCTTCCAAGAGCAGTCAGACTTGGCTCTTTGGCGCGTGGCTGGGCCCAGGTGAAGAGTCAGGGGTCCCTGGGCAACAGCTACACCAATCCCAGTAGGGATCTACCTGGCTTACTGGGGAACCTGTGGTGTGGGGTTCAGCTGGACCCCAGATCCCCTCTTCACTTGTCCTTGGAAACTCCTGCCTGGGTTTGTTCCAGAGCCCCGTTGTCGGAGGCTTGTCAGGGTGTGTCTGGTCTTACCTTTTCCCCATCATGTCCCGGAGGGCCTGGTAGTCCAATCTCCCCCTACATCAGAACAACTGAAGGTCACTCTCAGAGCCCGGAATAAAAACAATGATGGATGTTGACAAGACACTTCCTACGAACTGGGCTTCCTTCTCATCATCTGTCCACTCAGTGCCCATTTAATTCGCATTGCACTTCGTGAGGTAAGCGCTTTAATTGTCTCCCTGTCAAAGAATTAAGTAACCTGCCCGGCCCGTAGAACAGCTGGGTCGGGATTTGAGCCCAGCTCTGTCTGTAACTACAGCCACCCATTGTCTCTGGGTAGCTGCCTCCAAGACCCTTGGGCACTGGCTCAATCAGGAAAGGGGGCATATTCTTGCTTCTCTGTCTCCCCACAAACCCAGCCCTGGCCACCCCTTAATCTTCCCATCAACTAAAGGCCTTTCCTTAAATTGGGGCAGAGCTCAAGCAGGTGGTGACCTTTGAGCTGGTCTTGAAAACTACGAAGGGCGATGAAAGGTAGGGAAGAGGGGAAGGGACTTGTAGGGTGGGGAGCCCATTGAGTACTGCACTGGATAACCACCCAACCCAAACCATTGTTATCAAATCAATTCTGACTCACAGCCACCCTATCAGATGGAGAACAATGGCACCACTTGGTTTCCAAAGCTATGAATCTTTAGGGAAGCCAACTGTCACAGAGCTTTCATTAAGCAGTGGAGTGTTTAACCTCTGCATCCCCAGGGCTCCTTGAGCACAGGGTAAAACCCCAACCAAATCCAGGGCCATCTAGTCAATTCCAACTCACGCAGACCCTATACTGGGATCCAGAATCAGGCAGCCTCATCTTTCTCTCAAGAAGTGGCAGGTTGGCTTGAACCACCAACCTTGCAGGTAGCAGCCCAATATCTAACCCACAAGATACATGGTCTTTGTGGGGAGGGGGAAAGCATAGGGGCTTGTGAAGGTGGGGGATATAAAAGGGAGGTGAAGATGAGAAAGGGGGAAGGGAGAGATTGGGGAGGGACTCAAAACCACATACCCAGAGACTTGGGGTTGCATCTGAGGGTCTGGTTTGGGGAGGAACAAGTCTAGATTCAGGTTTCACCACATCAGAGGGTCTGTGATTTACAGTAACCCAAGAAAGACATGCTTGATGGGAGGGCTGAGGACTCGGAGGGAAGATGGGGACTGTGATGTAGGAGGACAGGGCCACTGGGAAGAATGACAGGCAAGAACTCTGTGGTAAGGAGTCGGAGTCTGGGGGTACAGGATAGGCTGCCCAGGTCACTGTGCTCAGTGGTGGTGGTAGCTCCACAGGGTCTTCACGTAACCTCACTCCTTCATGAAGACCACCTTACCTTCTGGCCTGGAACCCCCGGAGCACCAGGTGGGCCAATTTGTCCTGGAAGACCAGGTGGGCCCTAAGGAAGCAAAGAAAACCACATGAGGAGCTTTCTGACCCAGGGTAGGTGGCCTGTACCAGAGAGGCGAGTGTGGAGACTGGCTCCTAAAGAACAAAAGTATTTAAACTTTCGTCAGTGCCAGAACCATTTTTTTGACAAAGACAATAACAAGGGGGACCCAAAAAATGTAAAACAGAAAGCTTGGAGTTTGGGTTAAAGTTGGAGGCGGGGATCCTTGAACCCAACAGCTACTCCCTCCCTTTCCTACCAGGGCACCCCTGGGAGACTCCTTGGGCTCCAGGAACACCAATCAGCCCTTCTTTAAGGCCTTAAAAAGATCTTCAGAAAACCCATATGTCCATTGTTGTTGAGAGCCGCCGAGTTGGTTTTGACCAATAGTGATCCTGTGTAGAGTTACTGAGGAGCGGCTGGTGAGTTTGAACCTCTAACCTTGCTGTTCAAATGGCCCTATGGTCGAGTGCTTATCCTATAGAGCCAAACCAAGACTCCCATTAACAGGTGACTATATGACACAACCATGTAATGGAACACCACTCAGCTCTTTAAAAAGGATTAAATTCTGGTAGATGCAATGGTATGGAGACATTTCAAACACCTAAGCCTTTGAACAACACAGTCAGGAAAGTCTATGTACTGCGCAAGTCCATCCACAAGTGACTAGACAAGACAAATCTCTTCTACAGTGAAGGGAAGCAGAGCCGTGGTTGTCTGAGGTGAAGGAACTTTCTGGAGAGATTGTGTGGTGATGGTGGCTGTGGTTGTTCAGTGTCGTCAAGTCAGTTCTGTCTCATAGTGTCTCTGTATAGGGTTTCCAAGGAGGGCTGGTGGGTTTGAACCACCAAACTTGTGGTTAGCAGTCCAGTGTTGATCCTACAGTGCCACACCAGGACTCCAGTGTGGTGGTTACATAGGTGTATATATTTGTCTGACTCACTGAACTGTACCCTAAAAACAGGCACATTTTGTTGCATGTAATTGATATCTCAAATCTGATTTTAAGAGAAAACAAATAATTTCCAGGAAATCTCTGTTTCCAAAAGCTATTTCAAGCAACATATTTTAACAGACCATGGCTGAAAGCAGAGAATTATCAGAAGTATGTTTACCTGTGCTTTATTAACTACGCAGAGGCTTTCGATTATGTGGATCATGACAAGCTATGGACAACATTGTGAAGTATGAGTATTATGGAACACTTAATTGTGCTCATTAGGAATCTGTACATGGACCAAGAGGCAGTTGTTTGAATAGAACATGGGGACACTGAATAGTTTAAAATTAAGAAAGGGGTGCGGCAGGGTTGTATTCTTTCACCATACTTATTCAACCTGTATGCTGAGCAAATAATCTGAGAAGCTGGGTTCTATGAAGAAAAACGTGGCATCAGGATTGGAGGAAGACTCATTAACAACCTGCGATATGCAGATGATACAGCCTTGCTTGCTGAAAGTGAAGAGGACTTAAAACATTTACTGATGAAGATCAAAGAGCACAACCTTCGATATGGATTACATCTCAATGTAAAGAAAACAAAAATCCTCACCACTGGACCAATAAAAAACATTCTTATCAACGGAGAAAAGATTGAAGTGGTCAAGGACTTCATTCTTCTTGGATCAACTATCAACACTTATGGAAGCAGCAGTCAAGAAATCAATCGATTTATTGCATTAGGCAAATCTGCTGTACAAGACCTTTTTAAAGTGTTGAAGAGCAAAGATGTCAGCTTGAAGACTAAGGTGAGCCTGAACCAAGCCATGGTATTTTCAATAATCTCATATGCATGCAAAAGCTGTATAGTAAATAAGGAAGACTATAGAAGAATTGATGCATTTGAGTTATGGTGTTGGAGGAGAATATTGAAAGTACCATGGCTGTCAAAAGAACCAACAGACACTATGTACAACATAACAAAACCCTGCTCGCCATCCTCACAATTGTTGCTATGTTTGAGCCCATTGTCACTGTGTTAATTCATTTGGTTGGGGGTCTTCCTGTTTTTACTGACCCTCCACTTTACCAAGCATGATATCCTTCTCCAGGGACTGGTCCCTTCTGACAACATGCCTGAAGCATGAGAGGCGAAGTCTTGTCATCCTGGCTTATAAGGAGCATTCTGGCTGCATTCTTCTAGGACAGGTTTGTCCATGGTACTGTTAACATTCTTCTCCCATAACTCAAATGTATCAATTCTTCTCAGTCTTTCTTATTCATTGTCCAACTTTCACATGCATATGAGGTGACTGAAAATGCCAGGGCTTAGGTCAGATGCACCTTAGTCCTTAAACTGACATCTTTGCTCTTGAACACTTTAAAAAGGTCTTGTGCAGCAGATCTGCCTAATGCAGGAAATCATTTGATTTCTTGACTGCTACTTCCATGAGTGTTGATTGTGGATCCAAGTAAAATGAAGTCTTTGACAACTTCAGTCTTTTCTCTGTTTATTATACGTCAGCAGTTCGAAAGTACCAGCTGTTCCGCGGGAGAAAGATGAGGCTTTCTGCTCCCGTAAAGATTTACAGCTTCGGAAACCCTGTACATGGTCGCTATGACTCCATGGCACATAATAACAATAACAACATTATTTATTTATTGATCCAATTTAAGGATTTAAAATTCCTTTGTTATTTTTAATTTCTAAAAGTTTACATAGCAAATGCAATCCATACTGAAGGTTGTAGTTTTTGATCTTCATCAGTAAACATTTTAAGTCCTCTTCCAGCAAACCGGGTTGCATCAGCTGCATATCACAGGTTGTTACGTTCTTCATGTAATCTAGTTTCTCATATTATTTGTTTAGCATATAACTTGAATAAGTTTGGTGAAAGAATACAACCCTGGCTCACACCTTTCCTGATTTTAAACCATTCAGTAACCCGTTGCTCTGGTTAAACAACTGCTTCTGAGACTAAATATAGCTTCCTCATGAGCACAGTTAAGTGTTCTAGAATACTCATTCTTTGCAATGTTATCCTTTATTTGTTATTACCCACACAGCTGTATGCCTTTGTGTAGTCAATAAAGCACACATAAACATCTTTCTGGTATCCTCTGCTTTCAGACAAGCTCCATCTGGTGTTAGCAATGATATCCCTTGTTCCACGTCCTCTTCTGAATTTGGCTTGAATTTATGGCAGCTCCCTGTTGATGTACTGTTTAAAACATTTTTGAATTATTTTCAGCAGAATTTTTACTTGCATGTTATACCAGTGATATTGTTTAATGATCTGTATTCTTTTGGGTCACTTTTCTTTGGAATGGGCACAAATATGGATCTCTCCCAATTGATTGGCCAGGTAGCTGTTTTCCAAATGTCTTGGCATTAATCAGTGAGTGCCTCTAGTTCTGCATCAGTTTATTGAAATATTTCAATTTATATTCTATCAATTCATAGACATTGGGTTTTGTTTTTTATTTTTATTTTTTAACTAATGCCTTGAGTGCTGCTTGGACTTCTTCCATCAGTACCATTGGTTCTTAATCATGTTACTTCTTGAAACGGTTGAAACTGACCATTTCTTTTTGGTACAGTGACTGTGTATTCCTTTCATCTTCTTTTGAAGTTTTGTGCATCATTCAATATTTTGCCTAAGGAGTCCTTGAATGTTGCAGGCTTGAATTTTTCCTTTAGTTCTTTCAGCTTGAGAAATGCTGAGCGTGTTCTTCCCTTTTGGTTTTCTCACTCCAGGGTGTGTCTTTTGTCTTCCTGAGTGGCCCTTTGAAAGTTTTGGTTCAGCTCTTCACTTCCTCATTTCTATCATTCCCTTTTGCTTCTTCACTATGCTTAAAAGCAAGCTTCTGATTCTCTTCTGACATCCTTTTTTAAAAATTGTAAATTGAGTGAAAGTTTACATGGTAAATCATTAGTTTTACATTCAACAAATCATATTTTGTTTCATTGCAATGATTACAACCTCCTCCATGTACTATCGTTTACCAGTATTTACCTATTCCCCCTTTTCTTTTTCTAAAAGTTTTATCGTGAATTGAGTGATAGTTTACATGGGACAACACTGGGTTTACACCCATCGTTTCATTGCAATGATTACAATCTCCACAGTGCATCATCATTCAATAGTATTTGCTTCTATTCCCTGTTTCTTTTTGGATGTACACAATAACACTCAGGAATATATAATCATTTAAACAACCAAAGGACACATTCTGCGCACCTGCCTCCTGGTCACCAGCACCTGGCTGCCAGCACACAGCCTTTCTCTTTCCATGAGTCTAGAGTACTCAGCTACTCGCTCTCTCGATGCCATCATTTTTGGTGTTGCTGCTTCTCTGGATAGGGTCCCACATTCTGCTTGTGCTCTTCTCCCTTGCTGACATCCATTTTTGTCTTTTCTTTCTTTCCTGTCTTTTTAATGATCTTTTGCCTTCTTCCTGTTTTTGAAATCATCCCACAACTCTTCTGGTCTTTGGTCATTTATGTCTAATACATTTATGTCTAATACATCAATTCTGTTTTGATATGATCTCTCAATTCAGGTGAAATATATTCAAGGTTATATATTGGCTCTCATAGACTTGGATTAATTTTCCTTAGCTGCAGCCTGAATTTGCATATGAGAAATTGATGGTTTGTTCCACAGTCTGCCTCTGGTCTTGTTTTGGCTGATGATACGGAGCTTTTCCACTCTCTCTTCCCATAGATACAGTCAATTTGATTTCTGTGTATCAAGTCAGGTCCATGGGTTTAGTTGCCTTTTATGTTGTTGAGAAAAGAAATTTGCAATGAATACATTGGTCTTGCAAAATCCAGTATCATTTCTATCACCATGGCCATATTTTTCAACTACTGATCCAATTTTAGCATACCAACCCCCAGTAATTATTAATACATTTTGATTGCACACTTGGTCAATTTCAGATTGAAGAAGCTGGTAGAATTCTTCAGTTTCATCCTTACCAGCATTAGTGACTGGTGGGTAAATTTGAATAATAGTGGTACTAACTTGTATGTGTATGGTATTACCCTATCATGGACAGTGTTGTACTTCAAGACAGATCTTGATAAGCTCTTTTTGATGAAGTCTGTGATGCCATTTCTCTTAAATTTGACATTCCCTGTGTAGTAATCCATGTGATTGTCAGATTCAAAAAGACCAATACCAGTTCATTTTAGCTCACTAATACTAATGTATTGCTTCTTTATGTGCTCCATTTCATTCTTGATAACTTCAAGTATTCCTAGCTTCATAATGTGTACATTCCATGCTCCAATTATTAATGGATGTTTGCAGCTGTTTCTCCTCATTTAGAGTTGTGCCCCATCAGCAAATAGAAGTCCTGAAAGCTTTGATCCATTCATGTCATTATGGTCAACTCTATTTTGAGGACGCAGCTCTTCCACAGTCATATTTTGAGTGCTTTCCAACTGAAGGGTTCACCTTCCGGCACTATATCTAACAATAATCCGTTGCTATGTGTAAGGTGTTCAGGGGCTAAACCTTCAGAAGTGGTTCACCTCTCCTTCTTCCTAGTCTGTCTTCATCTGGATGCTCTGCTGAAACTGCCCACTACGGGTGACCCTGCTGGTATTTCAAATACCTGTGGCATAGCTTCCAGCATCACAGAAACACACAAGCCACCACAGTAGGACAGACTGACAGACGAGCGGTGGATGGTTATTTGATTTATTGTTTAGAGTTGTAATTAAGACCCAGCATTTCCACTGTCATTACAATGAGCCCATAATAGAGAATAGCTGTGGCTCTGTGCCTGGGTAGCTTCAGAGATCTACCCATAAGTCCTGGCTTACCAACCCAGACTCAGAAGCCCCCTGCCTGCTTGCTAAAGGGGAGAACTCAAGTTCTTACTGCTAGGCTGACTTCCCCCAAGCCCTTCCAGCCCAGTGCCCTAGAAAAGTGAGCAATCAGGAAGACTTACCATCAAGGCCAGAGTTCTGATCTCCTGAAAAACCAACACCACACTGTCAGTTGAAGAGCAAAGCAAGAGCCATCTGGAAGGTCACCTCTGCCAGGTCAAGGGTACATTGGGATCATGCCCCTTCCAGGTGGACCTCCATGGCTCCCAGGACCACACCACTCCCACCAACCTTTCACCTCCAGTGCACTCACTGGACACAGGACTCTCCCCATCTTACCAGCTAACCACTGCCCTGAAGGCTGTTCTAGAATGAACTCAGATATGCACCCGAATGGTCTAGCAGCATTTCCTTCCTTCACAAAAAGGAGGGAAGGAAGCAAGTTCTCTTATTCTTTCTCACTGCCTACTGGGGACCATTTCATGGCATCCCCTTCTCCCAGAACTCAGAATTCAAGGTTTTGATGTACCTCTCAACTTCAAATAAATGCAAAGTAGTAAACTATAGATCACTCAAAAAATAAAATAAATTAGAGGGAAGATTTCTGGTTTTAAAAATGAATTACACACCTGGAGAGATTTATTTGAAGCAATGATTTTTAACTTGGGGTGACCTTTTCTCTCCCAGAAAAATTTGGAAATGTCTCGAGACATTTTTCTGGTTGTACGAACTTGGAAGGGGTAGTGCTACTAGCATGTTATGAGTAGAGACCAGAGATGCTGCTAAATCTTGTACAATGCTCAGAAGTAAATAGGATTGCCCAGCATCCAACAACAGTGCTCAGGTTGAGAAAGCTTGCTTTGAAGGACTGCTAGCTTATGAATTTAAAATGTAATTAAGCTAACAAAAGAAGGCATCTCAGGAAGGCAGATTCTACGTTGAGTATGTACTGAAGAAACAGAGCCCCAGAACTCTGAGTGGGCCAGCATCCCTGTAGGTTATTAGATGTGAATGTTCTCATTATGGCTTTCTGGTACAAAGCCGGGTGGATGCCAAATGATGGGAGCATTTGTCTGAGACTGCACAGTGGGAGATCAAAGCAAAGGGACCTCTCTCTCCTGGGAGTTCTGCCCAGTGAACTGGCCTCAGGGACATGGATCAGGCCATGTTAAAGAGCATCCTGTCACATCCTTGGTCCAGAGCCTTGAGGTCCAGAAGGGCTTACGGATTTCTAGCCTCTGAGACGGAGCCCACGTACCTGGAGAGCTTCATTGATGTTTCCATTGTAATCCACCATCTCCCCTTTGCCTGGTTCTCCCTTGAAGCCCTACAAGACAAATGAGGTTACCAAGGCCTGGTCCAAGAGCCACCTGGGGGCAACTACTGCCTGTGTTCTACCAAAGGGGGACCGAATCACCACTGGCTACACCTGGCTGCACAGGGGGCTCTTGAGTAGCTAGAGGAGAACTGCAAAAGGGTCCTAAAGACTCTCAGTGGATGCCCAGGGATTCCAGAACAAACAGGGAAGACTCCCTTTGAGAATCGGGCTGGGCAGGCCTGAAGAAAACTTAGTCCAATCATGCCTGGGGTCAGAATGCTCTTCCCTTGCCTCCACTTGCAGACCCAGGACCAAGCCACTTCCCACTGGGACTTCAGGTGAGAAAGGCACATACCTTGGGGCCAGCTGGTCCCTGTTCTCCAGCTGCTCCAGGCTCCCCCTGTTGCATGACAAAATTGGAGAGAAATGGAGACAGAACTGGGTCACACACTGATGGCCTTGGATAGGCCACACACATCAGGGACTGGGGAGGGGTTGGGAGGCCATCTGCACTCAGACCATGCTGCCATGGCAGGGTAGCACGGATGGCTCAGCCTCCTTCAGGAAGCAGCCCCCGAACACTGGCCCACTCCCCTCTTCTTCTGAGCTCCCTGGGTAAGTCGGCCTTTCCCATGTGACACTTGTGTTCTTTGCTAGTGACGCTGCTAGGATTGTCATTCTTGGCAGCAGAAACTAGATCCTTTGCTCGTCTTTCTTTTATTTCTATCCTGCTCATATGGCAAGGACTCAACAAGTGTGTGCCAATGGCCTAGGGGGTTGGTAACAGCCATGAGGTAACAGCCATGACGACCTCCTGCTGTTTCTTCAGAGTCCCCTCTGCTTGTGAAAGACCCAGCTTGCAGGGTATTAGGGACCACAGGGGCACACGACTGGGGGTCGGGTGGTGAGTCTGTTCCTGTTAAACATATGACAGAACTTTCTGGAAGAAATGAAAACAGTGGTGCAGATGACAAACACCAACCCACAGTTCCAGGTGCTCTGGGAAAATGTGTAAGTAGAAAGCAATTAAAAAAAAAAAATCAAGATAGAAAGTAAACATCAGGGAAAATTAACTCTTTGGTACAACTCAGCTCATGATGACCTGTCAGGGGTCAGCTGTGGTCACGTCCAAGTAACCTGTCTGTGTGTTTCTCCTGCAGGGGCTTTAGTTATCTAATGTCTCTGAGGGCTCTGTCTGGACCCTCAGAGGAGAGAAGCATGAGAGAGATGAGCCCAGCTGCCATGGGGCTCAGGAAGATAGCTGAAGCAGGGGCTTTAGTTTACTTCCTGTGTCAAGGGTCCTACCCAAGACAAAGCCAGCCAGCAAACAGGGTGACTAGGAATGGAGGGGCTAGTGGGAGCCGTCCATGATCTAGATCAGCCTTGTGCCTGATGTCTGGCCATAGGAGTATACCCAATGGGTTCTCTTTCTCATTAGGACCTTGAACCCTCAAGCTGACCGTCATCCTGCAGTTCCCGAGATTTTGGGACCTGTGTACCTTGTCTCCTCGCCTTCCTGGGGGACCATCCATACCAGCTTCTCCCTGGGGAAGAGGAGAAGGATAGAGTGAGGTTATATAGTTTGGGAAGCTGCTTAAGGAGGCAAAAGGCAGCCTTGCTGCTAAAATCCTAGGTTCTTAATGTCTTGAAGTCTCTTGCCCTGCTGACTTCTAACTCACAGCAACCCACCTACTGGACACCTAGACTCTTGGCCTAGAAGGTCATAAAAAGTGAGGCATCCAGTGGAATGTCTCTTTATTACGTGACTAACCAAGGGGCTGGAGTTTTAGTCTGTGTTACAGGTCAAAAGCTCTCCAGTATAGATTCCAGCCTGACTAATTCGACCCTATAGCGAGCGGACAGCCACTTCTCCATCTTTGGAGCGAGCGTGCTTGAGGGAGCCAGCATTCACCGAAGACCCACCTGAAAGAGGGATGTCATCTGCAT